TGTGTGTGTGTGTGTGTGTGTGTGTGTGTGTGTGTGTAAATCAATGTATTGCTTGTACTGTCGTATAACATGTTAGACAGACTAAGTAAATAAAAAAAATTATATATATATATATATAATATATATTCCTTTCAATTATCAGTTATCACATGATTCCGTTTGCTCTTTTCTGTATCTTATCTTTTTCTCATAATTAGACATAGTGATTTTTGTGATATCTCACCTTCCTGAAACATAAAGAACAATGACACACTTCAGTCTCTCAGTTCAAAACACATATCAGTTTAGCCGAAAATACATTATTAAAGATAAAAAAATACAAACTTAAAGCTCAGCTCAGCATGTTTGATGGATCATTGGACTGATTCTAAAATATCAGAGCACAAAATATGATCATAACACATATAAATTGATTTAGATGTGAAACTGATTTACATTTATAAATAATCATTTAACCATTTATATGCTAATTTCATGGATTCGTCCATTGACCAATCATTTTATATTATATTGTTATATTATTTTTTCATTGTGGTTTAATTTTATGATTGTGAGGTTTCAAGGGATAATTGTCTTGTGGTTGTGTGGGCATTTACACAAAATATTTTAAATAGAAACAGTCACTGAAGAAGATGAATATGATGAACAAAGAATTAATTAAGTATATTCTTCCTTTCTCATACTTCTGTGTTAAGGTTGAGTCTCTTTAAATTAAAGAATGTTGATTGTGATTTTGAAAGTGTATCATGTTACTGAACTGAGGAGCAGCAGCTCTTGTGTTCAACCATTTCCAGCTCAATCACCGCAGCAGTAGAAAGAGCCGGAACCCTTCAGTTATACTTTACATTTTAGCCAGGTTTCAGTCAAGCAGAGGACATCAACACTACAATAAATTCTCCCCGCGCTGCAGTGTGTTGTGCAGCTTTGCCACACAGATTTGGATAGTTGGCTATAATAGATCAGGCGGTGTGCCAAAGGACCAAAGGCTCTGCCTCCGTACGGTTTGTGTCAAGCCATTCATTAATCTGGCTGTTCGATGAAGAGAAAGAGATAAAATGTAGTAGAAATAAACATGTTAAGAATCAATAGAAGTTATTATTATGTTACTATTATTATGAGTTTTTTTTAGGACTATTATTATGTTGTAATGTTTGGTTGACCAATCAGCGGAGAGGGGCGTTTCATTCCCGCCCACATGTAGAGATCGAATATTCAAGTTGCTTATTCATTTTCTATCCCTGAACGTAAAAACGAAAAATGAAGCCGGATTCCTAATTTTTCGTTTTGTTTGAACAATTGAAAAACGAAATATGTGCCGTTTTTTAATTTTTCAGATTTCAATATTAAATTAAAAAACGAATGATCGGAAGATACCCTGATTGAAAGTGATGCACGGGCTTCATCTTTTTTTTCTTCTTCTTTTCTCGGCGCCAGATTGTTGATGTCTTTTCAGCAAACATGAGGTGGGAAAGGTTTTGTGTTTTTTTTTTTTAATAAGGTGAGAGCAGGCGCGGATGCGGGAATGGCGCGTCACGTGTGCTTAGCCTTCACCACAAAATGCGTTTTATATATATATATATATTTTTTTTTTATTATTTTTTTTTATGTATATTTGTATGTTAATTTTAATATTAATATAGAACGAAAGTTTTTTTTTTAACGTCCCTGCATTTCGACGCGCCCACTATTCTGACCTGCAGAGAACCATACCTGAAGTTTTTCACCCGGATTTCTCCACATATTTCTCCTCCATCATGGAGGCTCTCGGGGGATACCCCACCAAACCATCTGCTTCTAGAGCAGGACTGATCAAGGTCTTAGTGAGTGTGGCCGTGTGCATGGGCTCACTGTACCTACTGCAGAGTAAACTGTCAAAGTCGCGAAAAGCCAAAGATTTCTACTCGTATGAAGTGAAGGACGCGAGAGGCAGGACCGCCTCACTGGAGAAGTATCGGGGGAAAGTAAGTTATGCAATCATAGGCACAAAAGTTTTCTTTTAAATGGTTTAACATAATTTGTGAGGCTTTTGAAAATGCATGACTGTACAGATGTGTCCCGTGCAGCGCTGTTTTCACTCGAGGTCTCTGATAATAGGTCTCTCTGGTTGTAAACATGGCGAGTGGAAGCGAGTTAACGGAGCAGAATTACCGGGCTCTGCAGGAGCTTCACCGAGAGCTCGGCACGTCTCATTTTAACGTGCTCGCCTTTCCCTGCTCGCAATACGGTGACACCGAATCAGGTACCAGCCGAGAAATCGAGGGTTTCGCCAAATCCTACTACGGTGTGACGTTCCCCATCTTCAGCAAGATCAAAATAATGGGGTCGGAGACGGAGCCCGCATTCAGGTTCATCACAGGTAGGTTTTACCTGAGAATAATCTTAATTCAGGAACTTTTTGCTAATAAAAATAACTTACATTTAAAAAAATGAATACCATGAGAACGATGTACACTCACACGAGTTTAAAACCCCAGGGCAGGCATATTTTTGTTTCTATATAAAGTTGTTTTATTCTTCAGAGCGGGAAAGGCGTCCCCTCATGGTCGCCGCCATTTTGACATCTTATGATCAGCTAGCTCCTACTAATAGTGAGTCATTAATAAGAAGAAAATTTACTTTATGTAACACAAGCCAGTGTTCAAGATATTTTACACACACATGAACATACATCTAAAAAAAATAAGCTAGCCAAACAATACAACAACAGCAGCCCGATGTGGGGTGTTAGATGATTGAGCACTCAAAAATGTTGTCCCAGACCCTGTTAATTCAGTCGACAGTAAAGATAATCATAACAACCTCTGGGATAACTAAATGAAATATTGATATCTATATATATTGTTTTTTGAAAATTTCTAGATTCAATACAGAGAATCCCAAAATGGAATTTCTGGAAGTTTCTTGTGAGTCCTGAGGGCCAGGTGGTGCGTTTCTGGAAGCCGGAGGAGCCCATAGATGAAATCCGAAAGGAAGCCACAGCGCTTGTGCGGAATATCATATTGAAGAAGAGACAGGAACTATGATGTGCACAAACTCCTTTAGAGACTCAGTCATTGTGCACCTTTAAGTGTGTATAGATCTTCTGTGTTATTTTGGTAAATGTGAATGAAACTGGCATAAGATTCATCAGTAAGGCCTGTCTTTGTGTGCTTGTATGTGTGTGTTAACGTTAATAAATAATTTGAATTTTTGTGAAAGGAAATGTGATTTTGAAAAACAATATACCTTTTAAAATGTCTTTTAACAATCAAACTGGAATATTTAAAGATGCAACCCTGCAAATGTTTCAAACCACTTTTCTGGCATGTGACAAGAAAACCACTGAACAATCAAGATTGTAATTGTACAGGTGCATCTCAATAAATTAGAATGTCATGGAAAAGTTCATTTATTTCAGTAATTCAACTCAAATTGTGAAACTCGTGTATTAAATAAATTCAATGCACACAGACTGAAGTAGTTTAAGTCTTTGGTTCTTTTAATTGTGATGATTTTGGCTCACATTTAACAAAAACCCACCAATTCACTATCTCAACGAATTGGTGGGTTTTTGTTAAATGTGAGCCAAAATCATCACAATTAAAAGAACCAAAGACTTAAACTACTTCAGTCTGTGTGCACTGAATTTATTTAATACACGAGTTTCACAATTTGAGTTGAATTACTGAAAGAAATGAACTTTTCCACGACATTCTAATTTATTGAGATGCACTTGTATATGTTACTCTATTGGATTAAACGAAAAGTATTGCAGATTAATGCATATTCAGTTACACTAGCACATACAGAATTCAGATTAGCATGGGATATAAGTAATGTTATTTCTTAAAAGTATTACTTTGTCTTGCCTGTTAAGCAATGTTTACTTGACAACTGTTGTTGAATAAAAATTATGATCAATGGCTTAACATGTGAAGTAGCATATTTTTTAGCATTTGAAGAATGAGACTATCACAAAGATACACAAGTGCACTGTTGTTTTGGAGCATATGCAACAATTTCAGCGAAAAACTGGACCAGTACTTATGTGAGCGCCCATTCAGCCTGCAGGTCTGGTCTGTATGTTTGTATAATAATAATAAAAAGCCTAGACACTATTTAAGAAAAGCTGAATTGGCACTGATGTTTTATTTAAACACTTTTCTTTTAGTTTATGAAAACTACAATGCCAAACATCCATATGGATCATGGAGGACCAAACCTCAGTCTTAATGATAATGGCAATTATTTGTTGTTTTGTTAAAAAAAAAATATATATATTTTTGTCTATGTCCACTAGATTCAATTCAAGTTTATTTGTACAGCGTTTTTCACGATACAAATCATTGCAAAACAACTTTACAGCAAATTAAGTATCTACATTATTTTGTAGTAATTTATCAGTGGTGACATGTCAGTCAATGTACATATGGCAGAAATGTACGGAAAAATCAATTAAAGGCGTAATCAAACAGACGATGAACACTATTAACAGCAATTATTATATGATGCAATCAAACTTATAGCAAAATGTGGTACTTCTGTATGTTGTTTCAGGGTTGGCATCATCTGAGGTCCTCTGAGGGGTTGGCATAATCTCTTCTCAGGTGTTCTGGATCCCGACTGAAGCTTGTGTAAATCCAGCCTGGTCTCATGTTTATACGTAGGTATTAATACGTAACATTTACAAGCACAAAACGTACTTTTGTACGTGTTTATTAATGCTAAAACGTACAATTTAGACGTATTTCAACGTTTAAAACGTACAAATCGCTACGTATTTTTAGCTAAAAAACGTAAAAATAGTTACGTATCTTTTATATCATTAAGATATTCGTATCAATGCATTTTTATAATTTTATCAATAAGCGATTTGAATTTTTAAAAAGCACAGGCTTAAATTCAATTCAATTCAAGTTTATTTGTACAGCGTTTTTCACGATACAAATCATTGCAAAACAACTTTACAGCAAATTAAGTATCTACATTATTTTGTAGTAATTTATCAGTGGTGACATGTCAGTCAATGTACATATGGCAGAAATGTACGGAAAAATCAATTAAAGGCGTAATCAAACAGACGATGAACACTATTAACAGCAATTATTATATGATGCAATCAAACTTATAGCAAAATGTGGTAGTTCTGTATGTTGTTTCAGGGTTGGCATCATCTGAGGTCCTCTGAGGGGTTGGCATCATCTCTTCTCAGGTGTTCTGGATCCAGACCACCTGAGAAGAGATGATGCCATCAATAAGCGATTTAGATTTTTAGACCCCTTAACCTACCCCCAAACCTAAACCTACCCATTTTATAGCGAATATAAAAGGATATAAAACGCAAATGACCGAAATATACAGGAAAATAACCATTTTAGTAACAATGTAGTATTAAAAAAAAAAAAAATGATAGTCGCTAATTCCACTACCTATAAGCCTAAACATTTCTGTAAAGTATAAGAAAAACATGACAGACAGATGCAATTTCAATCATTTATTTATTGCAAAAATCTGTACAGTATAAGAAAAACATGACAGACAGATAAATGCAATTACAATCCTTTATTTATTGCAAAAATGTCAAAAGCAGTACCAAAAGTAATCCAAATAATGATGCGTTGCACCCGCAGTCCTCTCTAGCAGATTACAGTAGGTTTGTGTGATCCAGAGCAGCATTCATGTTGTTAATCTCTGAAAATATTATCCAGATCATTTTCCCGATCCACTCCGTGAACTCGTGAAGGCGCGCGCGCGCATCATTCAAACAGA